TTCATTGTCTATATTAGTTCATTTCTGTCCAGTCAATAAAGGAGAATGTTTTATTGTGGTTAGTCACTTGTTTCATGGAAAGAACTAACTTAGAAACTGTCCCTAACCGTGTATAAATATATTGGCTTTAGAATTGAGGAGAAAATAAACACTTATTAAGGCTCTTAATTTGGGCTGATAGTTTGATTTAATACAACCCTATTTCTAGGTGTCTAAGGAAGAAGCTGAGGGTCAAAAGGATTGAGTAATTTGCTCGTGATCACACTGTTAACGAGCAGAATGAGTGATTGGGTGAGGATTTATACTTGGTCATTTGAGAAGGGAGCCCCAGCTTGTTCTGCTGAACATTCAGACCTTGACCAGCTCTAGAAATACAGAATTAGAATGTGGTGCTCTGCAGGGCTTCTCTCTGTTCTTAGAAGGACACAGGGAGCATTGCTCAGGACTGATATCCATATCTGTGGCTCTCAGCCCTGTAAAGTAACTGCAGGCATGTTGGAGGAAGTCTACGGCAGGCACCAGAGGCAGAGTGAGCATCCATACAGAACCCATGTGATTGTTGTCATTGGTGTTTCCAACCAAAGCCTTGCCAGCACAGGGGCCTTTGTGGCTCTGTGTGGAGATGTCTCAGTGCAAGCAAGACAGCATCACGGTGCTGCTCAACCTTGTGCCGCAGCAGCACCAGTGTAAATCAATGATGAGTGCTTTCTTAATCACTCAAAAAGCATACAGAGTTGTAAGTCAAAAGAATGAGGTTATTACTGGTTGCTGGTAGTTCATGTCTGTCTGCAATCCTAGCTAATCAAAAGGTTGAGATCTGAGGGATGAACCTTCTAAGCCAGCCCGGGCAGGGACGTTTATGAGACTCTTATATCCAGTTAACCAGCAAAAGCTATAAGTGGAATAATGGCAGGATGCCAGCCTTGAGCAAAGGCAAAGTGCCCAGGTCCTATGTGTACCAGCACAAAACAAACAAACAAATGACAATGTGGCTGATTTTATTTAATATAATCTCTTTCCAGATATTTATTTTTATTGAACATAACTTTAAGACTGCACATACTACCATCATAACATGAAAATGTGTTTATGCCACTCAGATGTGCTCATATGTATTTGTGAGGAGTATGCTCCATGCTATGTAGAATGAACTTCATGGGTGAAATGAATAGCACTGGCCTGCTTTTCTTTTTAAAAAAAATTTTTTATTGTAAAGATACTGTACAGAGGGGTTACAGTTACATGAGTAAGGTTATGAGTACATTTCTATCGAGTATTGTTACCCCCTCCTTTGTTTGTCCCCTCCCATCTGGCCTGCTTTTCTATTCCAGTAAAATACATTTAAAAACATTTTAAAAGTACAGTCAGATTTATTCATACATCCATTTAGCATCCATCTACCAAACATCTATGTATCATGTATGGTGAGAGGTATTAGAGATGCAAACATGAACAAACAGGTCTCTGTTCTTTAGAAAACCAGCAGTGGGAACAACTTTACCTTGTCCTATCAAGAAAATGTAAAGTATAAAATAATATGGTTACTAAAAATGTCAGAAGTAGATATATGACTATACCTACTCACATAATAATAATAATAATAGGAAATAAAAGAGGAACAATTTATTGCTCCTCTAGCCTTCTTCCCCCCCCCCCAAATTTTTTTTTTGTCTTTTGGGTAAAAACATATTTTGAGACATGGTATAGCTATGTACCTCAGGCCTCAAACTCACTATCCTCCTGTCCCAGACTCCTGAGAGCTGGGATTACAAGTGTGTGCTACTTCTGTTGAAATACATTATAATTTGCTTGAATGAGATGAGCACCTATTTCTCAGGTTAACTTAAAATACACACACACACACATACACACACACACACACACACATACACACACATATATGTTGCGCTTGATTGGGGTGTGAATTCTCAGTTGTCACTTTTGTTGCTTACTTCCTATGGAGAAGCCATATGATAGGGCAGCAGGCTTGAGTTTGTTTAGAAACATAAAGAAGCTGCCACACAGAGAAGCTGGCCATCTGCTTCAGAGTACACAGAGGGAGGAGAATTCTAATAGGGCTTTGAGTTTTCACCAGAATAACCTTGCCTAAATACCAACAAAATGCTATCCTGAAGGGCATAATGTTATTAAAGCAGGACAAAAGCCTTTCTGCGAAGTCATACTTACCATAAGGAAAGTTCTTGAAATTACAGTTTGGAGCAATACATAAACATCTAATGGATCTGTGCCATACCAACTATTTTTCAGTTTTTTCTCATTTAACAGTAAAGGGTTCTTGGTAAAAGTTTTTGAGTAAGAAGGGTGCTATTTGACTTTGGTAGTGTTTAGGTCAGTTTTCCATTGTTGTGACAAAACACCCGCGGTGACTTACAGGCAGGAAAGGTTTGTTTGGGCTCATTGTGGGAGGTTTCAGCACTTGGCCAGTCTTTGCTGTCATTTTGGGCTTGTGGCAGCACAGGAAGTCATGACAGGAACACTCAGTGGCGGAAACTGCTCACTTTATGGTAGCTGTGAAGCAAAGAGAAGCCATGGCTCCAATATCCAGTTCATGGGCACACCACCCAGTGACCTAAGTCCTTTCCAGTAGGTTCCACCTCTATCCGTTCCCCAAAGCATCATGACTTGTGGAGGGTATTTAAGATCTAAACTATTAAAAAAATAAACTATTATCAGTGAAGTGATAAGTATGGTTTTATTTGACCACTTTCAACGTGAACTCTTACCAAACACCTCCTCCTATTCCATCTCTCTTGATTTCTATTCATAGCTACTTTATAATAAATAGAACTGAAGCTCAGGAAATTGAGTGACTTGGCTTTGGCCTTTGAGGGGCTATACAAGCTTGGGACTCAAGTGTAACCTCACACTTTGGAAAGGAAAACAGTTCTTCATGGAGAAAGTGAGGACTCAAGTCATACTATCACAGAAGTTCATCAAAGCCCTAATCTGGCTAAAGGTCAACCAGAACTATGATGAATTCTGTATTGGGTGACTTCACTGATGGGTGCTTCTCTATTCTCTCATTTGAAGTGCCATCCTCTTCCCCTATGTCAGGCATTGTTTAGGCCCCATTATTTGGATTATTATCAGTAGTTCTCAGCACCTAAAATATCACTTGTGTCCTTCAGATGGTGTTGGTCTGTGTATTTCCTAACACTATCTATTCTCAGAACAATTCCTTTTAAAAATCTTTTTCCAGCCAGGTGCTGGTGGCTTACACCTGTAACCTAGCTACTCAGGAGGCTAAGATCTGAGGATTGGGGTTCAAGGCCAGCCCAGGAGGGAAATCCATGAGACTCTTATCTCTAATTAACCACCACAAAACCCGAAGTGGCACTGTGGCTCAAGTGGTAGAGCACTAGCCTTGAGCTGAAGAGCCGAGGGACAGTGCCCAGGACCAGAGTTCAAACCCCATGACTGCCAAAAAAAAAAGTTTATTTCCAATAGAATAAGAAATGAACCCGATAATCCTAAGACTGTTCTGACAGTGGCTCTGTAGAGATTCCTTGCTCCTAAGTGTGACTGCCATCATGGAATTTCAGAGATATACCAGAGGACTGGGATTTTATAATTGGGTAACAACCTCTTCTCCATTCTTGATTGGATATTAGCTGGCCCTGAATCCTCTACAAATGCTGGTCATACCTTTGTCTCAGATGCACCTCCTGATAGACCAGGAAGTACTTTGGATGATATTGTTCAGTTCTAAAAAAAAAATGACTCAAGCTCACTTAAATAGAAAAAGAATTTAAGCATATGAAGGTGTAAACTCAAGGCAAATTCTGGGAAAAGTTCAACAACCATGTCTTAGAAAAAGCACAAATAGAAGCTATTCAGAAAACATATGACTAGGATGTCAAAACCTTGTTCTTATTCATGTGACTTGGTTTCTGTCTTAGCCAGTTTGAGCTTCTGCAATAAAATAGTTTAGATTGGATACATTAGAAACAATAATAATCCATTTCTTACAGATTTGGGGACTGGGAAGCCCATGATCAAGACTGACAGATTTGGAGATTTGTAAGGACCAAATTTTTGTCATCTTCTTGCTAAACACATGGTGACAAGGCAAGCAGTCTCCTTTAAACTTCTTATGTAACACTAACATCATTCATGAGATTAAAACTCTTGTGATCAATAATCTCTCAAAGGTCACACCTCCAATACTATTGAATTGAGCATTTAAGTTGTAACTCAGGAATTTGAGGATTATCACACATACTCGGACCATAGCAGTCACTAATACCTAACCAATGTGACTCCCTTTCACCCCAAAGTCTTGAAAGGAGGAGCCCGATTGACTATCCTATGTCAAGTGACCACTTGAGTCCAATCAGGTTAAAGCCTATGAGGTAGTTAAAAGGATCACAGTGTGGAGGACATGAAGGGAGATTTGTAGAGAAAGATGTCTAATGTGAGATCATGGAGATTATGTATGAGGCAACCGTCCCCATTTTACAAGAGTGAAAATAGGGGCCCAAGAAGGGTGACACCATTGCCCCCAAATCAACCCACATATTCCTTCTGCACTGCTGTTTGGATGTGTCATGTGTTGGTCACATGTGTATTTCACTGCATTTTTCATATTCTGTCTCAATTATGGGTCTCTGCAATCTGAACACGAGTTCCTGGACAGAAACTATCTTATTGATTTTAGTCTTTCTCCCTGTGGCAGGCCCACGTACTCACATAATGACATGTGGTCGAACAAATAGGCAGCCTGCTATGGAAAAGAAAGAACAATTACAATGTTCTTTGTCTCTGTTTTAATCACCATCTATTTTCAGAAATTTTTGTTTCATAAACAAGGGAGGTATATGTGTATCAGAAATTAAAGGCAGAAGTAAAGACAGAATTCAAATACTTTCCTGAATGGTAAGGCAAGCAAGACTTTGCTTCCACACTAATGACAATGGGGAGACACTTCAGCTTGTAGGATTTTGCACAATGAGTTTCTGGTGCACAAACAAACGATGATTTCATTGCCTTCTTACATATTTCTTTCCAATATTGCTCTCAACTATGTAGAAGCTGCACTGGGAGACCACAGGAATCATCCTAATAGGTAGATGAGACACAAATATGATAAAACAAGAAAAGCACATCATAAAGCTCATTTTTTTCATTCATTTTGACAAGGATAATGTTGTTTTAATTACACTTGATAATACATATTGCCTGCTAATAACTGTCTTGTGATGTATTTTGTTAACCTTTTAGCTTAGAATGCTACAATACTTTCAACTTTGCTCATTAAACCTTTGTTACAAACCAAGAGGCTATTGACTGCCAAAGGAAAATGAGCAAGCTTGTGAATTAACAAATAGGCATTAATAACGTCTTACTATAGCAATCATGTATTGAAAATTAGAAAGCCATATAGGGAAGTCTTTTAAAATATTTTTATTCAATTGGGATATTATAATTGCAAAATTAATTGAATGAAAACCATATTCAAATCTGCCTCAAAGTGACTGAATAATTGATTAAAACCTAGTCTCATTTTCAAGGTCACAGTACATAAAATGTGTTTGCCAGACAAGCTAATACACAAGCAAGTACACACAATTGCTTCATTTTATTTGTGTTTATAATTTGTAGGGCTCAATGCTATTGATGTGTGTTTGTCCTCCTAACAAATCATGTACAATTATCAATAAGAACTCAAAGAATGTTGCTAAGGTGTGAAATTATATAAACCCTTCCACTACAAAACAAAGGCCCTCGAGGTGAACTGTATATTGAATTTTTTCAAAGGAAAATTATGTGTTTGTGAGTGTGTTGTTTGATAAAATGATTGTCATGGGAAATTTAATCTTCTCTTGAAGGAAATGAGTAAGCATTACCATCAATTCTCCCTTTCTAAAGGAATCTTATCTTTTTATTAGTTAATTTTTCTCTAAGCTTTTAATTATATGTATCAACTACACATATATTCACATAGGGGTAAATACACACTTCTATTACACTGTATTTTTCAGGGTTATTTCAAGTTCATATCAAAGGGAAATAAAGACTCTATCATAGGAAACTTAGTGTTTCCCAAAGTTTGGTTCATGAACTCCCTCCCTCCCATGGAACTCCTGGGATACCTGGTGAAAATAAAGTATCCTGCATTCTGACCAATACCTGATGAGTCAGAATCTCAGAGGTGAACACTTAATTGTTAGAATTATGAATTCAAAGACTACAGACTTATTGAATCACACTTCTGGGATGGAGCCCAGAAGTCTGTGTTTTAATAAGCCCTCCGGGTGATTCTGATGTACTATGTGAAAATTTGGCATCACTGGGATAGCACATGCCTAGTGTTCACCCAGATTCCCTCCAAAGGATGACAGGCATCACTCCTACAGTGTTGTTACAACTACCAGCTCTCAGCGGAGTCCCTCCCTGCACTTCCTCTGTACAGAGCCACTTTATCCAAGTTCAAATCTCTTTCCCGGGACATTCACGTCTATAAAAGTAAGGACTTTCATCAATGAGGGAACAACTGTGAAAGGCTGTCTCAATCCAGAGAATCCCAAGAGATCCACTTAGGCCTTCATTGTGACACAATCACAACTCACCATTTCTCTCTGCCCAATTCTATTGCATTTTATTTTACAATACCACAGCAGTGCCTTCAAGGTGCTGATCTAAGGACACACCTCGATAAATTTCCTAATGTTCATCAGCATCTCTGAATCTGTTTCCAGAATTAAGCTAGGACCCTTGGATCCTATTTATAAGAATTAGGACTATGCACAGCCAAGCCCAGAATAAGGAGGATTCCATAGCTACCACTCTGCAATGCCACTACTCTAAGAATACCACTACTACACTCTGGAACGTCCACTACCCTAAGATTCTATTGCCTCTGATCAGGCCCACTGGTAAAAGTTCTGTATCTCATAATTCAGTTTCCAAAAGAACCCTACTGGATTGAGAATACTCTGCCCATACCTCTCTACTGCCAGAATTCTGTGCTAATCTCTGCATTGGAGGAGTCAAAAGGAGTAAGTTATGACCATTAACTCCCATCTTAGAATTTCCCCTCCATTTCTCATTGGGTCTTCAGAGAATCTGAATCTGAACTTCAGAAGGTCTTCACCCCTATCCCATTCACCATATTTACATCCTTAGGTAAAGGTTAACTCATTGCTTTGTATTTGCTGCAATCAGTCATCAAGTGATGACTGGGATAGCACATGCCTAGTGTTCACCCAGATTCCCTCCAAAGGATGACAATAAAAATTCATTTTTATAACAATAAAAATTCATCTAATTCATCTAGGAACTATCAGGTTTCAAGGCCTTGAACATGAGAATGTGCTTGCTACACTCACTTTCCTGATGACAAACTATGGCTCAGGAAGCTAAGTAACTGCTCCAAACCAACTAAGGATTATGTTACTAGGAACTCGAGATTTCAACCAGACCACTGCTGCTTCTCTTTGACATGCTGGTGTCAAAGAGCTGGTGTCAGTTCCCACGTGCTCAGCATATACAACCACACAATGTGGTCTTTGAGGAGGGAAAGTGGAAGACAGTGTCATCACACAACACAATCTTCTAGTAGAAAGACTAGTCACATTCTCTTGACTTGACCCTGGGCATTCATGTAAGAATGAATAGGACCAGGCTTTATTATCTAGGCTGTCTTGCTTCTCTGTCAATATAACATTCCAATAGCTTAAAACAAAAAGAGTTTATATTTTAATCATGAAATGGTACAAGATAGGTGTCATGGTGAATAGACAGTCTTTTTCATGTGGACATTGAGAGAGTCAGCTTCTTCCACATTTTGGCTCTAGCGTCCCTAAAGGTCCTTTGTTTATAGGTGCAGAAAAGAAAGTGCATGCAGAAGCCCTCTGAAATGCCTTTACCAAGAATGAACACACATCAACTGCTCATAGACCACTGATTACAAGCTAATCCATGGCTCCACTCAGATACAAGTGGTGCTAGGGATACAGTCCTTTCTCTGGGCAGCCACTTCCCAGGGCTATGGAAGAGAACCATATTCTATTTGCGTGTGCTGAGGAAGTCAGGGCCTCATGCTCTCACTTGGCTTTTTTCGCTCATGGCTGGCATTTGAGCCAAAGCTCTACTTAACAGCTGTTTGCTGGTTAATTAAAGATAAGAGTCTTACGGACTTTTCTGCTCCAGTTGGCTTCAAACCTTGATCCTCAGAACCTGAGTAGCTAGGATTACAGGCATGAGCCATCAGCACCACACTTAAGGACCATTTATTCATTCTTAATGGTCAGCTAGCCACCACAGCCATTATGAGAATAAAAGGTCCAGGGAAAAGATGGCAGATTTAGGCTGCCACTCCAGGATGGATATTAAAAACAATTCAGTAGGGAGAGGACAGAACATGCCAATCTGGCAGTTTGAGGGGGTTTTGTAGATTTTTCTCCCTCAGTAGTAATGGAGTAGAGTCAATATGTCTTTGATGCCAATAGCTGTACATTTGGAGAACTTTTCTCCTATTACCATTGTGCCTTTACACTCAACAGCACTACCCAACATGTTAGCAACTTTTTTTTTATTGTGAAAATACTATACAGAGGGGTTACAATTACATGCGCAAGATAATGAGTACATTTCTTATCAAGCATTGTAGCCTCCTCTTTTGTTTCCCCTTCCCATCCTCCCCCTGCCCCCCCACTCAATCCTCCTCCCCCTGCCCCCCCATCAAAGTTGTAAAGTTTGTTTTCGACATAACGACTTGTACATCTCATTGTTGCAATGGGTCCACCTGTATCCCTAGTTAAATGATTTGTTTTTTCTATTCATGCCCATCCCTGCCTTCTCCATTTGAGTTGTAGGTTATGAATCTTGCAAAATTGGACAATATCAAGTGCCATAGCTTTCAGTTATCTTAGCTCATTACGCAGAAAAATGGGTGTACTTTTTCTCTTTATATTATAACAGTATTAGGTAATATCACATAATATTTCAAAATAGAATTTGTCTTTGTCAACCAAATACTGAATAACAAGGAAGCATTGAATGTTCCTTTTAAGAAATGATTTGAAATTAATTTCAATCCATTCTGATGGTTCAGTAAAAAAGAGAAATATAGGCTTCAGTAGTTTCTTAATGTAGATTGCTATGGTAATTTTAAAACAAATAAAAATAAAGTAATGATTCTATTATGCTGCCAGTGAGCTCGACAGCAAATAGTATATTTTTAAAAACAAAATTTGTCACTGCAATAGAAGTCAATGGCTAGGTTATAGGTATTGCCTTCAGATTAGATTCATTGGATCATATTTGTATTTTAGAAAGTTATTTACTGTAATAGAGATAAAAATATTAGATATATAATTATTCACAGCCTTTCTCCCTCTTTTGCCTCCCAAGGAGGATTCTTTTGTACCAGGAGTAATGGGTGGGGTAGGAGATGACAGAGAGCCAACAAACCTGGAGAAACAGAACAACTTGCTTCATCTCCATACATATGAACATAAACTGCCTGGAGAAGAACCTAAAAGAATCTTGGGCAGAAAAGGAAGAACGGAGAATGTTTTGGAAGCCGAAGTGAGCATCTGCTAAGTGAAAGGGATTATGGGAGTTCAGCTAGAGAGGAGCATTGTGAAGTCCATTTGTGTTCCCAACAGTCAGCTATCTCAAGCATCACTGTTGGAGAGGACATTTCTCTCTCTCTCTCTCTCTCTCTCTCTTTCTTCTTTAAATTTAATTTACTTTTGTTGTAAAGGTGAAGTACAGAGGGATTACAGTTACATAAAGTAATGAGTACATTTCTTAAACTCCACAGCTGGCTTCAGTGCAAAGTACCACCCAACAGATTAAGATAACACTTATAACAGCCAAAGGCCCGAATAAGTCCACTTCCTATGCATTAAACAGCCAGCTAAATTTGTGACTTACATCAACTCTTAATCCTCACAATACTCCATTCTGGAATATTCTAATTATATAAATAAGAAAACAAAACACAGAATGGTCATTTAACTTCCCAAGAATACTCTAGCTAATAAGTAGTAGAGGTGAAATTCAAGACTAGGTAGTCTGGCTTTTGGGTCTATGTGATGAACTACAATGGT